GAAGTGAAGTGAGGAAGTCAAGAAAGACTAAGTGACTGGTTTCGTACGATCTCCCATGTAGAAAAACATGCTGCGAGGCACTTAAAGTTTGTTTGCCAGGCAAAATTTAGAATTTAATTGAAAACAATCTTTTCAATAAATGTTTCTAGAGCCGGGGTTTGTGAACGCCTCGATAATAACTTACATCCGAACGAGATCGTGACTTAAAGACAAGCAGAATAGTAGACGTCTTACATGAATCAGGAAAGAAAACGCTAAAAGGATAGGCAGAGAATATAAGGCTGAATAATCGGGGGAGTTCGATGAGTGAAAAGAGGAGGGGACGAAAATTGCTGCGAAGATTGACTCTGCAGAGACTTTATAAGTACATTTGGAACCAAATTTAATATGCATAAAATCATCTCAAATGCCAGCAACTCCTTTTTCAGAATCCAAAAATTGCGTGTTTCGGTAGGAAACGGACAATAAGGACTTTATATCATCCGAAGTTAAATGGTTACGTTATTTGGCCTTGAATACCTCTAATTTATATATTTATTTATTGCCAATTTACAGGCAAGGTCAGAAGAAATATACAGCATCATTGTCCTCAGCGTGAAGCCTGGCACAGGGCTCAGAGTCGACGACCGCCATTAGAGCGGACAAGAGGTTCAATCGAGTCAGCATCCGAAATTCGTGAAAGGTATTCTGAATGTATAAAACTACTGATACCTCTCTCAAACAAAGAATAGCTTTGGTGAATTTTTATACTTCTGGATATCTTAATCCAGACTGCTATTGCATTTGCTTAAAAATGGCGATATCTAACTCCGCGTGCCAGAGGAATAAATAAAATGCACCTTGGTGACTGATGCGCTGATAGAGGTCAAGCTGTCTCAGAGTAGTACGAGGATTAAAGGCATGACTATTTAAAAGTACAAGCAGTATAAGATAGTCCCTTCTGTAATCTGCGAGAGTAAAACGGGTCAATGTTAGTGAGCATCCAACGTGGTTAGTAAATCAGGTTACACTGTTCTGAAGAGAAATCTCGATTAATGAAGAAATGATGGACTGATTCTATTGCCTCCCGTTCACTAGCGCGCAGAAGGCTAAATAGAAACTAGCAATATTCCAGGATAGGCTTACGGTTACTTCTACAAAGGCTGATTCTTATATTGATGTTTTTACAATTTATAAGAATAAACCCGGCAGTTCTTCGTGTTTTCGGAACAATCAGGACGCTACGCTCTAACCGGTTAAGACCATTAGAATATGATATGCCAAGAGCTTTAATAACTACGGGCACCTTTTAGGTCGTGCCCGTCTATACTAAGCTGAAGCTAACCATCGCCGCCGACAACCATAAGGGGGCATTTGTACCAAAAAAGAGAAAGGTGCCATAAGCAGAACCAATGCCCAAAGACCCGAAGGTCCCTATTAAGAGCTCTAGCAAGATGTTGTGCTTGGCCGGTTTATATCGATAGGCGACGTTTACATCTTCCGCGTATATAAACGGCCTACCATGCTGAAAAACTCAGGACTACCTTTGACAGAAAGCCAAAGATAAGAGCAAGATTAAATACCCTACATAGAAGGCAGGAAAAACATCACTTGCATCAATCTTTAAAATGCTGACCGGCACGTTATCTGGTTGGGAGTGTGAGATAAATGAAGACGTCAAATGGCCATGGTCACGACCCATAGACAGGATACTCACATGCAGACTAGATACTTATAATAGTTCGACCATCGATGTCGAGGATGTCCACTATATGCTTCAAACAGGTTGGTGCAGGGACGGGGACGTGCGCGCATTAAGTTTTAAGTGAATGAAGACGTGTGTACCATCTACCGCACTCTCAACCCTCATCCACCTGAAGCGGGTGTCATGACATAGCCAAGAAGACCGAGAGGGATCAGGCGTAAGGACGATTTCTCCAGTGCAGGCCACAACACTGCTCGTGATTTTGTTTTTATTGTTAGTA